GCGGGGGCCAGCGTTCCCCTGTCCTGCTCTCACCGGCTGCTGCAGCACGTGGAGGAGCCTCGGGGGAAAGGCCGAATCCTGCAGGGTTAAGCTTTGGGGAGGCCGCGGTACAGCTGGCAGGGCATGGACCTGGGGTCTGCGTTCAGCATCACTGGCCCATCCTGGCAGCGCGGCTTCCTGCGGAGAATGACCGGGCTGGGAGGGCCACGCAGTGATGGCAGGGGCACAAGTGGGAGAAAAAGGGCAGGAGCAGGTGGCTCCCTGCAGCTTTGTGTCCCCTCTCCATCTTTAATGCATTTCTCTGCTTTTCTCAGGCAGCCCATCGATGGCAGAGGGGTCCCAGCCCTCTGCTGCCACCCACATCTCCTCTGGTCCCGTCACTCCATTTCCCTGAGGATGTTTAGTGGCTCAGAGCTCCCGGTGTGCCTCAGCCATGGCAGCGTGGGGCTCCGGCATCACTGTTTGCTGCAGGAGGCCGTGTCTGGATAAAGGTGATCTCTGCCGGACGAGCGCCCAGTGCTGTGCCTGGCACCCAGCGGGTGGTTTGAGGGTGCAGGCAGGTGCCGGGGCCACTGGCACAGTGTCTCGGCTGTGGGTAACACCAGCCAAGGCTGAGCTGGGAACGCCACCAGCGAGGTCACATCACACTGGGCAAGGAGTGGGGAACCGCACCAGCGCAGCCCAGCATCACCCAGCCTGCTCCCTCCAGTGGGGGTGGCCGAGGCCCACAGCCGGACCCAGACATCCACCAGCATCATCATCTGCATGCAGATTTTGGGTGCCTACATTTAATTTCTTTCTGCAAAGCACAGCACGCAGCTGAGCCGCCCTTCACGGCTCACCCCATGGCTCCCTGCAGTCAGGCCAGCCTGAACGCGCAGAGGGAGGATGCTCCTACACCCTCATGTAGCTCACCAATGGCAGCTCATTGCATGGCATGATGTCACGGCTGAGCATGACATCATCGCGTTGTCCTCCCGTGTCACCACCGCATCATCATCTCACACAGATTTAGCCCCAGCATGAAGTTCTTCCACCATTAATCACCACATGTTAGCAATTCCCTTATTTTTAATCTTTATAAGCAGGCTTTTCTTCCCATTCTTCAACAAAATACTTGATGGAAAACACGGGGAGCCAGCTCCAGGGGCGAGCAGCAAGCCTGCAGAAGGGTGAAATTAAAAAAGACACCATGTTTTCATTTTGTTCTCCCTCTCCAGCAAGGAGTGGTGGTGGGGAGGGCTCAGCTCACCTTCCCGCGGCGGGGGGATGCTACACAAATATGAGAGCTGGTGGGGGGCAGGCACAACCCTCCTGCAGCCCCTCCTGCACCCACGAGCCCTGGCACCCCGCCACGGAGGCAGCCACCCAAAATGTCCTGGAAGGGAAAGCCAGTGAGAGCTGGGGCATGCCGTGAATAATTCAAGATAATTATAAAAAAATTATATATAGTTACATACATATATAGTAATATATATCGGCAGTTGGACCAGATTGTCATTGTAGGTCTCTTCTAACTGAAATATTCTATTCTATATATTTATTTTCATATTGTATATTAATGATTTATAGCATATAGAATGTACCATAATATTATAAGATAAATCAATAATATTACCCTACAATATCATGGTGTATTATAATATTGTGTCATATTATAATATTATTTTATATAAATATTATATTTATAATGAAGAATATACACCGGTTGGTTGGAGGGTGCAGGCAGGTGCCGGGGCCACTGGCACAGTGTCTCGGCTGTGGGTAACACCAGCCAAGGCTGAGCTGGGAACGCCACCAGCGAGGTCACATCATACTGGGCAAGGAGTGGGGAACCGCACCAGCGCAGCCCAGCATCACCCAGCCTGCTCCCTCCAGTGGGGGTGGCCGAGGCCCACAGCCGGACCCAGACATCCACCAGCATCATCATCTGCATGCAGATTTTGGGTGCCTACATTTAATTTCTTTCTGCAAAGCACAGCACGCAGCTGAGCCGCCCTTCACGGCTCACCCCATGGCTCCCTGCAGTCAGGCCAGCCTGAACGCGCAGAGGGAGGATGCTCCTACACCCTCATGTAGCTCACCAATGGCAGCTCATTGCATGGCATGATGTCACGGCTGAGCATGACATCATCGCGTTGTCCTCCCGTGTCACCACCGCATCATCATCTCACACAGATTTAGCCCCAGCATGAAGTTCTTCCACCATTAATCACCACATGTTAGCAATTCCCTTATTTTTAATCTTTATAAGCAGGCTTTTCTTCCCATTCTTCAACAAAATACTTGATGGAAAACACGGGGAGCCAGCTCCAGGGGCGAGCAGCAAGCCTGCAGAAGGGTGAAATTAAAAAAGACACCATGTTTTCATTTTGTTCTCCCTCTCCAGCAAGGAGTGGTGGTGGGGAGGGCTCAGCTCACCTTCCCGCGGCGGGGGGATGCTACACAAATATGAGAGCTGGTGGGGGGCAGGCACAACCCTCCTGCAGCCCCTCCTGCACCCACGAGCCCTGGCACCCCGCCACGGAGGCAGCCACCCAAAATGTCCTGGAAGGGAAAGCCAGTGAGAGCTGGGGCATGCCGTGAATAATTCAAGATAATTATAAAAAAATTATATATAGTTACATACATATATAGTAATATATATCGGCAGTTGGACCAGATTGTCATTGTAGGTCTCTTCTAACTGAAATATTCTATTCTATATATTTATTTTCATATTGTATATTAATGATTTATAGCATATAGAATGTACCATAATATTATAAGATAAATCAATAATATTACCCTACAATATCATGGTGTATTATAATATTGTGTCATATTATAATATTATTTTATATAAATATTATATTTATAATGAAGAATATAAAAGGAAGATGCCTTAGGGGCACAAAGAGATGCTCCTCCATGTCGGGAGGACGTCCCTTCAGAGGTGCTCCCCCTCCTCATCCCAAATTACCACCTACCTGGCTCCTTGCAGCCCGTGCCCGGTGCAATGGGGACGGGGGTGGGATGTGTCCCCCCGGCACTCGACGCACACCCGCTTGTCCCGGTGCAGCCGGCGGCTCCAGGCCTGCCCGTGGCAGGGGGGCCTTACCTGCGTCAGGCGGAAATAGCCGCAGTAGCTGGGGAGGGGGAGAGGGAGGAAGGGGGGAAAAAGGGGGAAAATGAGGAGAAAAAGGGGGAAAATGGTGGTTGGGGGGTAGGGCAAGGGTCGTGGTGTTTTCTCAATGGATGAAGGGTGTAAAGGGGTGATGGGTTTGGGGGTGCAAAGGGGACATGATTTCATGGGGGCAGGTAGAAGGGTAATGTCTCTGGGGGGTGCAAAGGAGCCCCAGCTCTAGCAGGGGGTGCAAAGGGGACATGGTTTGTGATTTGGTGG